ACTACTCTGTCATCACTTATATTAAATAATGTGAAATAAAGTGAAATACACCGTATATTTTAGTTCGTCGTTAATACAATACGATATTTGGGAAGATCGATTGCCACCTCCTAAATTATGTGCCTGATGGTAGAAGAGGTAGAAAAAAGGCGACTTTCATAATCGCACACTTTCAAAAACAGGTCATTGTTCAAAACCACACACTTTTTATATTAATCCCACGTATGTCCACCAAATTAAATTGTTCAATATCGCACACATTGATATATATTAATAATGTATACATTTATCTAAAATAACATGAGTGCATCTTGAGACTGAGGGAGGTCACTCGCTCGCTGCGCTCGCTCGGGTAGTTAAAAACGAAAATATCCCCCGATTTGCTATGCAACACCACCCCAATAGGTCATAGGATAAAAAAAACGATTATGAGTGGGAATCATACAAAATGGCAACGTGAACCGTACATGCAAAGTATGCAGAGAAAAAGAAATGTTAATCAAATGTGTGCGATTTTGAACTATCGACCTTTCAAATTTCCTTTTTTAACAATAGATTAAATATGTGCGGTATTGAACGATGTAAAATATGTGGTTATAAATGGCAAGTATGCGGTTTTGATGACCGCTGTAGAAGAAGAACTTGAAGAGTCAAAGCGAATTTGGGATTGACAATTTATTGAAAGAATTGATACATTAAAACCTACAAATATATTAATGTATTCTTTATTATTTATTTATGTATTCAGATACAAATTTAAACGTTGTGTCTTCACTAGGGGCGAAATTACTACTAGGCTTGCCACTAGTCCCGGTGTCCCGGCTGATCATTCAGTTTATCCCGGCTAATAGAAGCCGAGAGAAAATAACATTTAATATTATATTATTTAACAATAAAATATAAAATAATATTGTACATTATATCATTATATAATGGTAATCTAATCGGTATGGTTATATACATTGTGTAATAATGTATTTTTGTGTACCAATAAATATTTAAATTACAAAATTATATACTTATTTTGTTTTCTTATTAAAATAAAAAAAAGGGTCATTCAATATGATGTCCCACTTTAAAGATTTAAAAATCTAACAACCCTACATATTACTATTATCCAGTTCGAGGATCGAAAAGACAGAGAACAAACTTCCACAAACATTATTTAAATAATAAATTTATATATTTATACAATAAAAACTTTGTTTTTCTATACTTAATGAGTAATGAGTATTTAAATGTAAATTAATATGAACACGTTTGGGGGTGCTTATTTCGAAAATGGGGGTGCTAAGCACACCCAAGCCCCCCTTCCAAATTGTGCCTATGATCTTCACTCTAACGAAATGCCATCTTGACACTGACAAGGACAACTAATACATTAAATTAAAATAACTATTTAGTTAGTACTCATTAAAGTTGTGGCAGGGGTGTTACTTGATCAGAAAATTAGAAATAAATGAATTCACTAAATTATTAAATAATTCAATTACTTTACTACACAACTCGAATAAATCGGTTTGTTTATCAGGGCCATATAAAAGGGAGAGAGGTGCCTACGCCCCGGGCACAATTCCTGGAAGGGCGCAAAAATGAAAAAATTTGCATTTTATATTAAAAACTATAACAATCAATATTATATATTTTATTTACAAAAACTTCAAAGTAGGTTCTTTATAGAAATTGAATCAATTGTTGAAAATAATATCTATTAATTACAATATTTTTGAATTAAATAGTTATTAAATTACAATTCATAAAGGTACATTTTGAAGTTGCACCCCGGGTGCAATATTTGATTGTTACGGCACTACTATTTGTACATGGTTAGTTGCTAAATTACCAGTTATTTCACTAAATTACTAATGTAGTGTGAACTGGGCTTAAGGAGCATTTTAAAACATTAATAAATTAAAATATTAAATTTATTTTAATGGTCACAGTTATATCAAATCGTTTGTAAACCTATTCGATGTGTACAAAAATTATGCGATCTGTTGTTAACATGTTAACTACCTACATGTAGTAAAATTATTATCGCGAATAAATAGATCATAGTATTGTGGTTTATTATTTTAGTACGGACGGCGAGATTATTTCCTATCTCGTTTAATTCTGAACTGGATGCACGTTTGAGGGTTAGATTAGCTTAGGTAAGGTTAGGTTCCTAAGGGCGGCAGTAATATGCAAACAATTCCTTCCCGATTCTCGGTACCATTTAAAAAAAAAAAAAAAAAGTAAGGTTCCTAAACAATCGCCAACATGGATTCAGGAGGGGGCGGTCGACGGTGGACACGATCAAACGGGTCACGAGTGTAGTGGATGCGGCTGGATCCGGGCCATTACGTCGAAGGAAACTGTGCGCAGTGTTATGGTAGCAGTAGTAGCTCTGGACGTGACTAACGCTTTTAATTCGGTGAAATGGCCAAAGATAATCATAGCTCTACAAGATAAGGGAGTACCTGCCTATCTTGTCGGTGTCATTCAGAGTTATCTGAGCAACAGGACGGTCACATACGAGAGAAGCTCGAGAACTGCTACCTGTGGAATCCCGCAGGGGTCTGTACTGGAACCGTTACTCTGGAACATTATGTACGATGAGTTGCTGGAAATGGACACAGGAGGAAACGTGACCGGTATGTCGTCTAGGGAGCTGGTGGCCTTCGCGGACGATGTGGCGGTGGTGTCGACCGGCCACACGACATGACTATTGGAGACTGCAACGAATGATGCGTTGAACAGAGTGGCCGAGTGGATGACAAGCGCCGGCCTAGCACTATCAATAAGAAAATCTGAGGCTGTGATACTAACCACGAAAAAGGGTTACAGCATGCCGAAGTTTTCGATCACGGGCACTCGCATCGAAATAAAAGAGAGTATCAGGTACTTGGGCGTAGAACTTCACAGGGTGCTGGGCTATAAAGAGCACGTAGAGACGGCGGCGGCGAAGGCACATACTACTGCATCAGCACTAGCAAGGCTGATGCCCAATGTCGGTGGCTCGGAACAGAGGAGGAGGAAGCTCCTGTCAACGGTCATGGAGAAAAAATTGTTATACGCATCGCCGATATAGTCAGAAGCTCTAGTGTTCAGCCGTAATATTGAAAACTTAGTAAGACCTCAGAGGATGATTGCAGTAAGGATAGCGAGAGCCTATCACGCGATATCCACGGCAGTAGTGATAGTAATCGCGGGTCTAATACCAGCTCACCTTTTAGCATGGGAGAGGGCGGAGAAATATAAACGGAAGTAAGAACCAGACCCGACACGAGTGATAGCGGTGATCAGGAGGGAGGCGATGAACAAATGGCAAAGGGAGTGGGACAATGAAGAGAACGGAAGATGGATACGGAGAATGATCAACGACATCAACGTGTGGACAAGCAGGAAGCACGGTTCCGTGGATTTCCACCTGACGCAATTGCTGTCTAACCATGAATGTTTTGGAGCATACTAGAAGAGGATCGGGAAGTAGGACGTTGCGACTTGTGTGGACTGTCAGGAGCCGGTCGACGACGTGGAGCACGTTTTCTTTAGATGCGACAAATGGTGGAAGGAAAGACAAGCCCTAGAGGCAGAGATGGAAGAAAACACTGAATCCGGACAATATTATTGGTTGCATGCTGAAGAAGCGGAGGAACTGGAACGCAGTCAACAGATTTTTAAAACACATCCAATCCCATAGAGAAGATGAAGAGCGAGTGAGACAACGAAACCTTAATTAAGGCTAGTTAGTTATGTCAGCTAAAATGTGAGCCGAGGGTGGAAATTAGAAGGATAGAGTATTACCCTTTCTTTTTTGTAGAGCGAAGCTCTTAAATTAATAGATTAAGGCCTATATGTACGACGCGTTTTCAATAAACGATACGGATACAAGGGGAAGGACAACCCATCAGGGTGAAGTGTCCCCCTGTAGCGCCGTGGTTCAACACAAAAAAAAAAGGTTAGGTTAGGTTAGGACATTCCCCCCAGGGACCCACATTGTCGTGGTGAGGGGTTCACGCCTTCACAGGCGTGCCAACAGGTCCAAAAAGGTTGAAATTTACCTTAAAAATCAAAAGATGATTAAAGACTCCAGGGATACTTTACCTCTGACCAAGGCCCCCACGGATTCGGGGAGGGGGGCAGCCATCACGGATATAAAGACTGGAAAACTGGAAACGGAATGTAAGGATTATGAAGACTATGGAACAAAAATATGGGAAGAATTGACTGATTTCGAAATAGAAATTAATAGGAGAAAATCTTATGTGTAATGGACGAATTCCAAAAGGCAAATAAGAACGTCCATAAACCACAAAAGTATTGGATTGCAAAGCTTGAGGTTCTGACGGCAAAGGTGAGCCCAATGAAAAAACAATTGAGGAGTACTTGTGAAAAAATAAGCGAGGAAGTAGATAGGCTGCACCACATTGCGCCCGGCATGCGGAAATGTCCCTAAGGGTAATGGAGAATAGTATTCTCCTCCACCCTGAGGCAAGTAGTTCCCCCGCAGCTCCCAGAAAGAAGAAGGTGAAGAAGAGACAAAACGATGACGCGGCTATTCAGGACCATGGAATATAGACCGAAACTAGACATAGGAATCCGATGGCAACAGAGGAAACCAAAAAAAAGGCGAAGATGAAAACCATAATCTCTGCACCAAGCAGACAGCAAGGTATCATTGTCACCGATATAGACGAGAGCAACTGCAGTTATGCTGCCATTGCAAAGAAGCTTAAAGATAACGTCGATCTTGAGGCAATCGGAGTAAGAATCGGTGAGATTATACGCACCAAAACCAGAGCTATTTCGCTTTCAGTAGGCAAAGTAGCGGAAAGAGCACTAGCAGCTGAAAAACTCAAGGCCACTGTGGACACCGTCCTGAGTCAACAGTAAGAGTCAAATCTGGAACCCAAAGTATTGAGATCCTTGGCATAAGTAGCTATGACGACCAAAACGATGTACAAGAGGGATTGGCAAGGGAAGGCATCCCAACTTCCGAGTTCATCATTAAACGGATGAGACCAAATTGGAGCGGAAACCAGATTGCTACAGTATCCCTACCAGAGCACATGGCGACAAATATGGTGATGAGGGGCAGGACTAGAATCGGTCTTGTATACTGCAGAGTCAGACTTCATTCACCGAAAATCATCAGGTGCTTCCGGTGCCATTGCTACGGCCATCGAGCGACAGGTTGCAAGTTGAACGATCGGAGCGCGAACTGCATGACGTGTAGAGGACCTGGTCACCTATCAAAGGAGTGTAAAGAGCCTCCCAATTGTTTCCTGTGCGAGGAAATGAAGAAGAAGAAGGATCATTTTCCTGAAATCGGCAAATGCGAAGCCTAAAGACGAGCAAAAATTAGTTAAGTTCATTTTTTGTAGGCCGAAGACCACATCGCAGGAGTTAAAGGCCCCTGAATTATTGTAAACCGACGATATATTATGTTTTCTTGTTAAGTTCATATTAAACGATGTGGCAGGGGTGGAAGTAATGCGAAAGCGGTTCCCACCCTGGTCATAATTCTTAAGCGGGGGAAAAAAAAAGATTAGGTTAGGACATACACATGTGCTGGAGACCCAAAAGAGTAAGAACCTCCTCCTCCAAGCCCAGAGGAGTACAGCGCTGAGGGTCGCGAGGTGCTATCACACGGTGTCTGATATGGCTGCTATCGTGCTGGCCAGGATGCCCCCGGCATTTCTGCAGGCTGTCAGCAGGAAGGAAGTAATGGAGGCAAAGAGAGCTAGTGCTAAGCCAACAAAACACGAGATGATTGCTGAGATCGTCAGGCAATGGCAAACCCTCTGGGAGATGACACCCAATGCCTAGTGAACTAGATGGCTGATCCCGGACTTATCCAGGAGGTGGTATAAGGGCCCGAGAGCAGTGATTTTCTACATGGTGCAGGCTCTCACTGGCCACGGATGCTTTCAAAAATACTTGTGGTCAAAGGGCAGAGCGCAAAGTTCGGCCTGCTTTCACTGCCCGGTGGAGGTGGACGATGCAGAACATGCATTGTTCGTCTGCATGTTCTGGAGCCTCGAGCGACGCGACCTGGTGCTATCTCTGGAAAGACATCCCTGTCCGGAGGACGTGGCGGATCTGCTGTGCAGACCAGTGGTTGATGAGCTACTGTTTGACAACGAGATGAAGACGAGGATCATTGCGGCAGCCGTCCGTCAAAAGAGTTCTTCATTAGGATGGTCGAGAAGATCATCGGCAGGAAGGAGGAGTTGGAGAGGGAAAGGCAACGTCTTGATGCAACTTGACCGAACGAGAATCACTTTAGTTAAGTTATAAATGTATGGGCTGAATGGCCTACTCAGGGTAGTTAGAGGCCCCCAATTTTTTTTGTAACTCTTCTTAATCAATTGTATTCTAAGTATTTAATATGTATTGTTGCATATATTGTTTTTCAATTAATAAATGATGCTGGGCAGGGAGGCAGTAATGGGGAAACCTACTACTCTCCCTGTGTAGCAGTTTACACACAAAAAAAAAAAAAGATTAGGACATACACAAAAACTAAAACACATAAATTACATATAATAAAGGGCGTATTTGAGTGGGGGGGGGCAAAGGTTGATCACGGGTATCAATTTTTATTTATCTTCTTATATCATTAAACGCCTTTTTTTTTTTTTTTACAATATAACATCTGGTACTTTTTGTTGTGCATAAGTATTTAGTGATTTTTTTGTGCACAAATGCATTCATATTTGTGTATTTTATAGAACTAGAAGCCTATAATCCAAATAATAATTATAATAACTGACAATATCTGTGTCCATATTCTTTAACTTGCAAATATTGGCCAAAAGTATATTTTTGTAAATTGAAAACATGGATAAGATCAAGAATAGGCCAGCATAAACTAACAGGTTTAGCTTTGATTTATGTGCATAAAAATGAAACAATCAACAAATTCGCCCCCCCCCACTCCGTGACCTCAACACAAATACGCCCTTGCATATAATTATTAGTTATATTTAATAATTATTATTCTTCTTTCTAGTTAAAGGCCTTTAGACCATTTTAACAAACACGTGTCATACCATCTTTCTCAGTCTTTCGCTAGGACTCTTCAATCAGTTAGTTAATTTTTATGAAATTTTGGTCATTAACATCCGAGCTCTAATAATAACCATATACCTAATGCTTAAATAAATACCGAAGCGCCTACGCCAAATCTAAGAAAATATGAAAATTTTGTGTTTGCTCTCTTGAAAAATAGTAAAATGGTCGCTAGCCTCTTTTATCTTTTACCAGCCGATATGTGGTATGAATATGCCCCATTAACCTTCGGTTGATGTTGAATACCTACACTTTTAACTGCTACCAGTTGATTTTGAAACCTAACCACCGTACAACCAAATTTGAAAATCTCTGATATCACTGAAAGTGTACATTTTATCCAATGGTTTCGAAAAAGACAACAATAAGATGAATAATTATTAATGAATAATTAAAAATTAATGTAAAATACCAATTTTTTTTTCTTAAATATTTCACGTTTTTTAATACATATTTTGGAAAAAATATGAACATAAATATTTCTTATTTTAACTTTTTTTATTACATAAAAATTCGTGCCTTAGTTATTGGTATATATGAAATTAATTTAAACAATGCATAAAAGAAAAAGGTTCTCTAATCAGAATTATTTTAAACATACAAGTTTTAGATTTTTTATTACATATTTTATTCATAAATTTGTAAATATAACGGATGCTATAGTAATAGATAAGTTTTCTAATAGTGGCAAACTGGCAAAGCTAGACGACTAAAATTAATAATCTAATTTAGTTGTAGGTATAGTTTATGGGTTTTTAATTCATATTTGGATGCAATTATGGTTTTATTTTTCAATGTGATAAGTAAAGAGCGGATTTAATTGATATTGTAACTTTTTATTGATACCCAGTAAATCAAATCTGATCAAATATGTATACGAATCAGATTAATTACAGTCTACCTATTTAATTAAATAATGCAATTTTTGCAATTTTTTGCAATTATTGCAATTTTCGAATACTTCACGTGATAAAATAAACAAATTATTATTTCCAAAGTGATTTTACAAAAAAAAATATAACTACGACGTAAATTTTTACATGTAGTTAAATGTAGTTAAGGATTTTTAAAATTAAATTTATCTGGGTTATCCACAAAACTCACAAGCTTAGAAGAATCAAATATTCAATTACTTAATAGTTTAACCATATTTAGTATAAATACTAAATAAATAAATAAATAAATAAATAAATACTAAACAAATACTAAGTAAAAATATTTAGTATAAATATTTCTATAAATATTCCCTGTCCTAATGGAAAAATAGTTAAAGATAAATTAAAATATGTCTTAGAAAGAAATGAAGGATATAAAACTATTAAAACTTACTCTGAGGTTATGGCAAGAAATCAAAATGTTTATTGAGATATAAAACCCAATTTTTAAACTATTTTATATAAGCATAGATAACAAAAGTCAACGTTGAACGTACTTTTTCATTATATAAACATATTTTAAGTAACAGACGATACAATTTTCAAGAACACAATTTAGAGATGTATATATGTAATTATAAATTTTAATTCAGAAAAATTATATATTTTGTAAATATAATATAAATTTCCATAATATTATTTAAGTAAGTAATTAATGATTATATATTTAATATGATTTTACTATGTAATTTTAATGTATTTCATTGCAATTTTAATATATTTATACTGCAATTTGGATACATTTTTATTGCAATTTTAAGATATTTTTAATGCAATTATATCCAGTCTTTAGTGATAAGTAACTGATCATAATTGATTTTGGAAAAAATTTGAAAATTTTTATATTTTTTATCAATCCGTTAGAACTGGGATATTACCTTCATAAACGTAGCAATAAAAGTATACATTAATTTACATTTTGTATGCCATTGTAGAAGTGCTTTTATAACTGAATAAATTAATATATATATATTTTTTTTTTCTATGTATCTAGGTAATATTTAATTTTTGTTATAAGTAATGATACAAAAAAATGCATGTAATGATACCGAAAAAAATATGTGTTATAATACACAAAAGAATTAGTGCGATATTTGTTCTAGACTGTTTTCACATGAAATAACTCCACCTCAGCTCAATTTCACACAATTTAATAGATTTAATAAGTTAATATATATATATATATGAATAGTAAATAGGTTTTATAGATTAAGTCGGACTATCGCTATACGATTACTTCATTAGGTTGTTCATTCTTTTTTTTTTTTTTTTTGAAAATTAAGGCTTCAACAGAAAATATTATTTGCTATTAGATGTTACATATTAGATGTATTAAATGTTAGATTTAAAATTACAATATTACATATGACATATTATATAAGTGAAGTTAGGTGTAAAATTAAGATTTACTAATAATATTTGTGATACTTAAGAATGTGACTATTTTCAGAGTTTGTTTTTCGCCAAGTACTTTTACTATGTTGGTTGGCATGTTCAGGTCGGTGCGTATTGAGATATATTATGTACACTCCTCCACTATGTGATCGACAGTTAATGATTAGTGGTTTGTACTCCATATTGGTTTTAAGATTTTTTTAATTAAGTATGAGTGTATAAGAAAAACGTGTTCATTCTAATCTTCTACAAATTTAAAATAGTATAAAATAGTACGGTTTCGGGTTTACTCGAAAACATTTTTATGCAATATCATATAACATACATTATATAATATACATATATGAATATGAATTTTTTAAATTTTAAATAGAATACTTATCGCGACCCAATCTTAAAACTTACGCGACCCAAAATAGGGTCGTGACCCACAGGTCAAAGACCAATGCTCTATAGCGTATAAAACTAAAAAATAGTTATATATTTAATCCATAATATTAGACAATTAACGATAATTTTATCTTTCAAATAAAAAACCAAATCTAAACAAGTATCTTATCCATAATGTATGAAAAACTACACTTGTTGTTTTATCTGGTAATACCTATTTTAAGTTTAGCAATTAGCAAGGTGGATTTACCTTGGCAATTATTTGAGTATTGACCTTTTTGTTATTAATTATGTTTTTACAAACAAATCATTCGAATTATGTTGAACTGTATGACCGTATGTAACGTAAAAAGGTAAATACACTTTTTTTTATTACTTGGCAACACTGGGGTCAGGTAAGCTCGTTATCAGCCAAATCTGACAGTGTCCATTCTGATTTAATCTATTCTATGATGTAACTAATCTGTGGTACGATGAAAACAAATAATATTGTTATTTGTGTACGAAACGTTCGCGCACTTAACATCGTTCTCTTGAATTTGTTGTTGTCGTTGACAGTGCGCATCGGATTCTTGTGTTTAAGCGGAACATTTTTTTACTTCTTTTTCTATCTGTTTTATGTCGTTGTCCGCCTGCAATAGCATTACAGTTGTTCGGTAGAATCGATTTGCGCGACCACTCTTGTCCAGTTGAAATGTTCGTTAACAAGATCGCGAAAGTTCTGCCGTGCGCTTGTCAAGTATTATGATAATTTTTTTCTGGTTAGCAATTGTTTTTGATATTTTACCAGTATACATTGCTGAGGCAATTAAAAGTATATTTAATTTTTTTTTTGTTGTTATTGTACAGAAATTATTTTTAGAAATGTTCCGATCAATGTGAACTGTGAATCTTATAATGAAAACACAGTCACGATGGCCAAAGAGAACGATCAAGTACCTGAAGTAACGGTGGAAACTTTGGGTGAGAACATCATAGTTACTGAACAAAATACAGAAGACATTAATGAAGGTCAACTGAAAAAACCGCCTTCTGTTACACCTCGTAATAGGAGTCCGGTCACTATACAAGAATGGGTAGATTCATTGCCTACTACAGTTGATCAAAAGTAACAATTAATTTTAATAATTTTATGTAAAACATTCTGAATAACTAATAATTTGTTAAATTTTAATTTATTTTTAGAGAAGATTTTGATAATGCAGATTCTTCTACGCTTTTAAATAGCTTGGATGCTGATAATCTTACATTAGGAGCAGAAGGTAATATTCAAAACATTTTATTTTAATCTAAATAACAATCATCGAATTTAATTTGCATAACATAGGACAAAATATAACTATTTGCCCCTTTTTTTAAATATGATTAATTATCAGGTCATAAAATTTGATTGATAATTTTTACTAATTATAATTATATACAGTGGTGCGGAATATGATTTTCTGGTAGAACAACTGTCCTAGCTGTCAAGGGAGAGGGATTATAGGATATTTATTATTTATGAGAAATGGTTAAGTAAATTTTAAATGATTTATTTATGTATGTAAGGTAATCGTTAGATGTTTATATTTAAGTTTTTCCAACCTAACATAATATTATTTAAAAAATACTATTTCTATATGTATGTAATATACATACGTTCTTATATATATTTATTAAAATATAAAAATTGTATAATTGTTCTAAAACAGTGGAAATATTTGGTACATATTAAGTAATCTTGAAATTATACTTCTGAGACATAGACAATTGGATTTAAATAATAAATTCAATTTGTACTTTTGATTATTGACTAAGTTCTATATACTTAACAAAAATAAATTTTAAATTATAAACACCTTTAAAAAAAATATAATTTTATTTGTAGCTGGACACTTATCTAGAGGTAGATCTATTCCAAATGTCACTATAACATCAGAAAGGTAATTTTTATTTATAGTTATTTTTGTCTAATATGTAATAACAATATAATATATTTATTTATCAATCAAAACATGTAATTGATTTTTAGTTGTTGAAATTCTGTGCTTTTATAATACAAAACTAAATAAAACAAATTATTAAAAAATGTAATTGAACAAATGACACCACAGTAAATATTCTATGCTAGAATTTTTTTTTCTTCTTTAAACAACTATAAACAATAAATTAGATTTTTAGAAATAAATTATTAATTTACATTATTTTTATATATATTATTTTGGAAATAATTTATTTACATTTTCATTCAACATTTTAAATACATTTTTAAGGTATATTTTGTTGAATTATAAAAAATTGTCAATAACCATTAGTTAAGGGACATGCTAAAATTATAAATTTACCAACATTTTATAATTTTATTAACTTTCATTTGTTTTTTATTAAAGTAATATAGTTCATGCACCATCTGAAGCTGGAAGTCAAACGTCAAGTTTTGATTCAAAATTATTAAATGCTCGCAAACCAGATCCTGAAGAAATATTACTAGGTTTAGGATTTGGTGGTGGAATTGAATTGACTACATATGGAGAGTATGGAAGAGTGCCTAAGCGATTTCTACAACCATCCCAATTAAAGGGTGTGTCAGTAGAGGACTATTTAAAACACCAACAAGAACTTATATATATGTATGAATCTGGATTATGGGGTTATCGTGGATTAACTGGTAGGTCAATTATGTTTTGAATTTGTACCATTTTAATTTTTAACAAGTTATTGATTAGAATTGGATATATATTTTAATCAAGCTTTAAGAATTATTTTATAATGATGAAATTTAATGAAGGAAGGATTTTCATACAGGTACATTGATGGAATATCAATCTACAAGTTTTTCAATAAACAATTATTTTATGTAAGTTCACTCTACAAGATATTCTTCCAAGTTTCTTGATTGTTTTGTTGCTGTGTAGAATTTCTTTTAATTTTTTTATTTATTTTTTTTTATTTGCATGTTTTAATTATCCTGTAGCTATATTTAATTAATGCAAATAGTCATTGATAAATTGTGTTTAATTTGAGTGAACATATTTAATTTTTTTATCATGTTGGAGTTACTAAAATATTTTAATTGTTTCATAGTATGTTAGTCACAATTGTTTATTTAACTCATTTTTTAAACTTCATGTTGCTTTTTGATAATTTAGAACTTATAAAAATATTATTTTTTAATGATAATGGTTGGTGATTAATATTAATTGAGTAATTTAAAAATGATTGATACTATATTTTTTAAATTAATTGTTTTTTTGTTATCAATATTTAAAATCTCGTTTTCTATAGGTTTTTAAAATTACAAACAATTAACTAATTAAGAAAAAAAATAGAGACTCCTAGGTTGGGTGAGTTATAGGGATGGATGAATGATATTACTGTATTGACTTTTAAACTTAAAATCAATGTACCATTGTTCTCAAAAGAAAAATTCTGAGTGAAAAAGGTTGGGCAGGTCAATTTATATTTCTAAAGATGATTGATATAGTAGGAGAATCAAATTTATAAATAAGGTAACTTAAACTTTTTACGCTCCAACTTTTGCACAATAAAAAAAAAGCATCTAAAAATTGAGAAAATTGAAAATTTCAAGTGCTTATAATCAAAACAAATTTCATTAAATGAAACTTCTTTATATTAATTTTATTACTAAATAACTAATATTTTCCTAATAAATTTTTTTCAAAAATGTAGTGCCTAAAAGTGCCAGTTTCAACCAATTTCATATCATTTAATTTTTGTTTGGTAATAATCAGAAGGATATATAATGGGATAATTATACTTCTGGTATAAATTGTATATGCAGACCCAAAAATAATAAAAATAAAAAATATGTAATTATAGAAATATAAAATGTAAAACTATCATTATATAAATATTAATTTTTTAGTTTTATTTTAAATTATTAATATAATAAGCTGTAATAGTATTATAATTCATATTAGACCATTTAAAAAAATTAAAATTAAGTCTGACTCTATTAATAAATTTCCAATTTATATAATTATTAAAAATGTATATCGAAAACATATTGCAACTAGTTGGTTATTTAAAATGGTAATTAAATTAACTTAATAATATTATATTATTTTTTAAAATATTTCAGTTTTTCTTCAAAATAGTTAGTATTTATTTTAATCAAATAGAATAATTTTATTAGCATCTTATAATAACTTCTATTATAAATTGTATTTTTATAAGTACATCATCTTCACATAAATTTATATTTTTTGAGTTAATTTTTTACAAAAAAGTTTTTTTAAGAATGTTTTATTTTATAGTTATGACATTATATTTAGTTTTTTAATTTGTTTATTACTATTGTGAATTAAAAACTATTTAATTTTATCCTAACTACATAATGTTTCTAACTTTCATTTAATTTTTTTTATTTTAATTTTATAGGACCACCACATGCCAGCCCATCAGTAATAGTAGCCAAAATCATGGAAAAACTTCGAGAACACGAATGCGACATAGCGTGCCAAAAAGATTCTTCAAGAGTCATGGGTTCAACCACTAAATCATTGAATTTACCTAATAAAAGTACAAAACAAACTTCAAATCGATTTAATAAAGTTGCTGAAAATATCCTCACAAAAATAAGGTACACAACTTTTTTATTTTACTTATCTATCTAATAAAATAAATTATTATTATATACATTATTTTTCTACAATCAAATTGAATTCATGTTATTCCATACTTAAAACAAAAAAACATTTTAAATGGTTTGATATTATTATGAGTATTAATGTGCAATAGTTGTTTGAATTGTTGTACTTAATATATCCTTGCTTGATATTTTGTGAACATTTTAATTATTTTTCAGTAAAATTGAAAAAAATGTATGCATGTAGTATGTACTCATTAAAGTAATGAACTTCTCAAATATAAATAAAACTCAATTTGATTAATACTCATCTACTTTTAAATTTGGATAAATTTGATCATTTTTTTCATGAAATTATGTGTGGGAAATATAAGCCATTGATGTGTGCATAGAGGATGTAGAAAATCGAGACAAGTGGAGGTTTAGGACAAGGGTGACCAACCCCAAATAATTGGAAAAAAGCAAAGAAGTAGAAAAGAAGTGATTTTGAATGGTCAACATATCTGGATATATCTTACACTAATAGATATTTTAAACTCAAAATTGTATTATTTCATTTATATGATAATGATTTGTTTGGTTTAAAATTCAATTTCTCTTTCTTTATTCAACAAAAATATTAACAGTTATTATTAATATAATTTAGTTATGACATAATAAAAATATATTATGTGCAAGAATAAACATCTATTGTCTTTGAATAAGTGTGAACTAAGTATAGATAAGATAAATTTTTGATACATAGTTAAAAAAAAAAAAAAATTATTGCATAATTAGTTTACCATTTTAAATATTTTGTTTATAGGTGTACACCAGGCAGTGTTTTAACTCCAGATAATCGTAAGTGGCTTGACAGTCAAGGTGGTGATAAGTCACCAGAATTGTCTAGACGACTAATGATTGGTCAGCAGTCATTTGTATTGACCCGTGATGGAACTTTAATAGAAACACCTCCATCTAGTATTATTGCTGATAATGAAAAGTAAGTTATTGCTAAATAATTCAAACATTTTTTATACATACAAATTATTTTAATTGAAGATTAAAATTTTGATTTTGATTTTAGTTTACCTGATATGACTGATAACAAAGTAATTAATGACCAAGTTCTAATTACTTCTAGGGAGAACCCTTCTGAATTAGATGAAGTTAATAATGTGATATTTAAAGTTGGTTCATCATCATCTGTAAATACAGATATACCATTCCAAAAAGATAAATGTTCATCAATTACTATGCATAATGGTTCTAAAATAGATGAGTTAGAACATATATATGATTTAAGTCAATCTTATGATAAAGATTATAGTCCTGAAAGAGATTTAGAAGATTTATTATCTATAGTTGAGCCTTGTCAAGATGTTAGCAAAGCAAGTTCAGAAGTAGATTCAGGTGCAGCATCTGATAGTGCTGATACATCATGTGCACAAATTAATTTAATATCCTTAACTGAAAGCGAAATAACTGAAAATGAAAATTCTTCTAAAGTAAGCTATTTATTACATTTTTGGTTTAAAATTTGACTGTAGAAATAGTATTTTTATAGAAAAAGAGAAAATCTAATCTTATAGTTTTAAATTAAAATTGTTTAAAAAAATGAAAAAAAGACTCATGATTATGTGAAAATTATATCTTTTCTATATGATTTTATAACATTATAAGCTAGTGTAAACCTTTTAACAAAATAATAATAGTTTTGCGTTACTCTATTAGATATAGAGATTCAATTAAACTTTATATTTCAGTGTGTTATTTATTTATTTTTATTTTTCAGAACTTATATCGACAATATGAAGATTTATGTAACTTGAGATTAAGATTAAATGTAAGTTAAAAGTTAATACTAATTATATAATTGTATAGTATTCATTGTTTAAAATTTGACCAAATGATATAAATCTTCATTTATTTGGATACTTCAAAACCTAATTTATTTTTAATTTTAGTGTTATTAACCCGGCATCAGTGGCTTTGGTCTTTTTGACCCACAGTTTTTTAATTTCTTAAATAATTTATAATTGGAACCATATCTGTCTTTTTTCTACTCAATACCTTTTCTTCGATCCATAAAGAGTAGTTGTTTTGTGTTTTAATGTAAATTTATATCGTTAACATGAGCTTATACTGCTTATTGATAAAATTACGGTTAAAATGACCGATTGCACTATTTTTATTCATATTTAACATTATTTTCTTGGTTTTAAAATTATTTTTATTTATTTATAATATATTTAATTTTGATGTCAACATATTGTATACACATTTATAACTTGTCTATTTATAAGCAATGTGGCTAAACCCATAGATATATTATACTATCTGTATTATAGTAGGTAATAGGTATTATCAGTCACCACATTTTTACGCTTTTCAAGATTATATTAACATTTGACTGTTCAGTACCAACTAAAATTTTTGCCACTGTATTCATTGTAATTCACTTATATACCGAGAACATACTGTACCAGCATGTCCCGAATGTTCTAGAAACATGGCAATAGACGAAACTGAAAATTCGGACGAATATGTGTTAAGTCACTCATTTTATAAAATAATATTTTATTAAATCAAATCTATTTTTAATTTTAATAATTTATCATGTTATTTCTAAACTGCAAGATTTTAATTTCAAATAAATGTATCGATGAATGAAATTATTTAATAATATTATTAAATATTTGGTTATTTTTGGGATTTTGAAAACTTATTTCATTATTTGAAAATTATAAAAAACGAAATGCAAAAAATTAGATGTAAGTAAAAAATATACATCATATTAAATAAATATTATGTTTACATGAAAAATAACAATATTAATAATTTTAGTTGACTGATAATAGATCAAAATGTATAATTTTGTATTCTTCGGTCAAAAAGACTGATGTCACTGATGTTGGGTTAAGCATAATAAATTTAAAATTATTTGAAAAATTTTATTGGTTTAATCAAATTTAAAGTTTTCTTATTTTTCGGAAAATTTCAAGAATGAATCAGAACTGTATTTATTTTGTAGTAAATAAATACAAACACATTTTTATATTTTAACTAAATAAATTAGTAACTTTATCTTTTAATGTTCTAGCTTTAATTAGTAATAATATTTAATCGACATAATAATAAGGTATTGTAAATTGTAGGGAAACAGATTATTTTTTAATTTTAAATTAAAAGATCTTTACTTAGTGGTTATTATTAATTAAATTTTTATTATAATTAATCTATAACTTAAGATAATGAATATAATAATAATTAATTACACAATACTTTGTTTGCAGTACTATCTTTGTTCATGTGTAAATACATTTTAATGACATTTAATCAATTCTTATTGTTATAGGTATTAGGCTGTCCATTCAATATTGTACCTCAAGATCAGTTTATGTCACTTTCAGCAGAACAGGTAAATTCATTTTAAATGTTAAGATAAATTATAATTTATATAAATATTTTGGGACTTAATTTAATAACAATATAAAATAAATAAAAACCAAGTCAAAGTGTTACTACTGGGTAACTCTTTTAATCAAATTATTCATATCATTATACTATTAAAGTAAACATGCTCATTGTAAAAAATAAATTTACAGATTGTACATACTCCAATAAAAAAAAATAATATAAATATTTATTTTATTTTATTTATATCATTAAATAATTAAAAATATTTTTAAACTTACAATTAATGAAATTTGTATTTTTTAGAGATGTGCACTCCAGTGTAAAATCTTAAGATTAGCTCTCCGTGTATATTTAAATAAACTCACTGATGATGAAGTGCATCATGAACTTCAAAGCTGTTTAGGAGCAGAAGTTCAACATGTTGCTGACTTATTAGATTCAAATTCCAATGTAGATAAACTAGCAATAATTGTTCGACAGGTAATTTTTATTATTTTTATTTAATTTTTTTTTTATAAATTCACTGAAGTAAGTATTACAGTAATATTACAGTACTCTTACAGTGGATACAATTAAAACTTAAGTTAGGTTTTGTATTTCATCAACATTTTAATAAGACCCTTTAACTTCACATAAAACGCTAAATTTAAAATATCTTATACAATGGTTCTGAATCTTTTTTTTTCATGTCACTATTGTATATCAAAAGTTTTTGCGGAACACCCATGCACTCGAAAAAAACAAAAACTTTGGCTACGCGCTAAGATATCCAATTGGGTTAAAACCGTACAGTTTACTTATACATGTATCCACTTATTTGCACAGTTAATTGACATTAAGAGTGCGCAATCCTTTTGCTACTTTTTCAGAATTAACAACTGACCTATCCCTTGAGAAAGAAAAACAGCTAGCAAAAATTCAGTATACTACGAACACTACGACTTTAATATAATGAATTACCACTAATTAGATTTTGAATATATGCAGTCAGAATATCCTGTAATAGCAAAAGAAGCAATCAACATTTTGTTACACTCTTCAACCACTTATGCTAGTTAGGCTTTTTGGCATTAATAAACATAAAAAAACAAAAAATGGAAGAGGCTTTTTTCCATTGATTAGAAAATGCGTGTATGCTTGTCTTCAATTCAACCATGTATCGAACGTTTGTGTAAGAAACAAGCTCAAGTTTATCACTAATAATTTAAAAAATTTCTCTTTATGATATAATATTCCTTTGCTTAAATAATTAAGTTTTCAAAATATATTTTTATGTTTTTAAATTTTTTAAAAATAAATTTAATGAAATAAAATATATTAAAATATTACTAATCACAAATATCAGACATTTTTCGCGGCACACTGGTTGGGAACCACTGAAATATTATTACTTCATTCAAAATTATCTAACTTACAATTTAATTGCCTCAACTCATTTTTGTCACTAGTCTATATTACAAAATATTGTTATAAAACTTTTTGACTATTACTATTTGTACAATTTGTATATTCACAAGTCTCCTATTAATAATATTAGGGCAGGCCTTATTATTTGTAAAATTTCGGACTGCATACTTCATTTAACTGCTTTAAATGAAAATTTTGTCTCGCTACTATCTTAGAAAAAAGTATATATTACATTATATATATATATATATATGCATTAAATTTAAAAAAAATCAATAATACTCATATTTCCTAGTAGTTGGCTTATTATTTAATTTTTGTTTTGTAGACCATAGTGCACACACGTTAAAACTGTAGTGCACACTTGTACATTCATGGTGCACATTGTGTGTCGGGGTGCACATAAAAATAGGACCTGTATTAAGGCATAACTAAGCCACTAAAAACTATTATTAATGTATTTACCTGTAACTTAAAATTAGATTTCTTTTATGTTTTATGTGTTTTCAATACAAATTAACTAATTTCATGCATACTTTAACAAAATTGATTTTTTAGATTATAATTAAAATCTTAAAACTATTTCAAAATCTTATCATGTATACTTACATTCCATCTAAAAAAAATCAAATAGGTAATTGCTCATTTACTTCAAAAGATTGACTGTGTTATTATTTTTTTAATGACACTAACCAGTTTTAAAATAATATATATATTTTATAGTTACAATTTTATATATATAAAAAAAAAATATGTATAGAAAAACATCACTATCTATATCTGAATTCAATTAAAAATGTTGTATGATCATCTTCTACTCAATTAATTTACTATAGTGATATTGTTTATTAGTTAAAACTCCTTTAGTAATCATTACTTGTCACCAAATCTGAATGTGTTTAAAATTTTTATAAAATTATTATTTATTAATTTGATTTATTTGTTTAATTTTACCAAGATCATTGTAATATTCGGATTATTATAGATGACTGTTCTACTACATCACCAGACTCATTTAAATAGCCAGTTAGCCGAATTGACTGTCAGAGCTCAAAATCCAACTGCTTGTCATGACATGTGTGAATTAATATTACAAAGGGTTCGAGGTCTTGAACAACTTGTTGAACAGAATGCTAATGAATTGGCTTTAATGAAAACTCAATTATCAAATAAGAAAACATTATGACTAAAATTGTATTATTAATATGTTATGTTAATAGCATAACAATACTCATTGAACAATATATATTAATTTATATTTGACGTTAAAAAACTGTATTCATTGTTATTGTTAATATTTCCTATTATCTATACATTTTTCACTGTTAGAGAAAGCTACGGTTATGTAATGTATTGTAAAATGTTATTTTTTTTAAATACTCTTTGAAGTCTGGATAAATCTAAAAAAAATGATTGTTTATTTTTTGTTGAATTTTTATTTTACAGTCTACTCTATACATATAGTAGTTAGATTGAAAATTAAATAAATATTTTATTTAAGCCAACCAATATTCAACTAAAAGAAATAAAAAAAATGAAAATATACAAACACACTACAGTGAAGAAAAACTTACTCCGTGCATAATATTAATGTAGATTATTTCTTTTGTTGAAATTGTTGTATCTATTTTTTGTTTCAACAGTCAAAGTAATGTTTATCTGAAATTAATGTCACGCTATCTAAAAAAAAAAAAAAAACTTTTGAAGGATTGATAATGGTGATTCAAAATTGAAAGCCACAGTCAGATGAAAAAATATACAAAACACAAATGGTAAGCTTAGGAACATACATTATTTTCATAGACGACAAAATAAATCGTGGTAGCTCAAACTAGACCAACATTTTTTAATTGGTATTCAAAACTTGTACAGTGTTATATAACTGCAATTTCAGTCTATAACTTGTGAGCTAAAATTATTTTATTTTATTTATTTATTTATTTATCTTTCGAGATAATCCTATGTATCAAATAAATTTCAAAACAAAATTTATAAACCAAACCTATACAATATTCCTGTAAAATTTAATCGTCAGTTTTTGCTACAAACATTTTTGCTTGGAGTAAAAATATTAGAATAAACATAAGTTATTACATACAACTGACATTTTAAATCATTTAAATTTCATTATTAGAGGTGTTTATTGAAGGTGAATATATTCCTTGTAATTACTCTACATTGGATTTATACAATTTTATTTTTCATAGGTTCATATATATATAGTAGGGATAGGTAAAAACATCGATATTTTAGGTCGATATATCAATGTTTCAACATCGATGATTTGTTTTCGATTAAACATTGATGTTTATGTTCGAAAAGTTCGAATAGCATGCAATAATGCACTAAAATTTGATCAAATATGCATTAAAAATCATTAACTATGCACGAAAAAAAAAACGTTTAAGGATTTTTTAAAATAATAAGAATTATCCGTTTATATTTTTAAAAGTTATATTTTTTTTTTTTGGTTACATTTTATTAAAATTATAATTAATGAACACACGTTGCGACAAAAATAAATGGATTGCAATGGACACGTCAATAAGAGGAGAGTGGAAGTGGTGTGCAATAACATTGTTTTCATGGTACTGCTTTTAACTTATAAAATTGAATGTCATTAAAAATTAAAAATATTGATAAAATACTAGGATTTTATCGGTAAAGCACGATTGAGCATAAAACGATTGAGCATAGACCTTTTTAGCAACACGATTGAGCATAGAATATTTTATGCGACGTTGCCACATTCACGTTGCCAAAATTTTGTAATTTATTATTTTCTCGTATTATTACACCAATTATTATGATATCTGACGCGAGCCGTGAGCTTTATCGGCTTTATAAATTTTATCGACAATGTTATCGATTAATAAATTAGTTCCGGAGCAAAACGACGTTTTAAACATTTAGCATCGGGGGAAAATATAAGATAATTAAGATACAAATCCAAAATTATTATAGAAATAATATCAGTGTTCGATCACCTGTGTAGTGTATAGTGCGTGTATACTTAGTGCGTTTTTCTATTTTTTTAAAATATGGATATAACAATTATTTTATCGGAAAGAGGCAAAGAATTGGCCCTAGTTAATTTATACAAGTATAAATTAATTGGAGAGCGAAAAAAAGACAATCTTTTGAGATGGAGGTGTACTAATAATAAATGTTCGGCAATAATGTTCTCGGGTTTCGATAAACGTAAAGTGATTGAAACTGCTGGACAACATAATCACGATAAAAATTCTATTGAGAAAATAGAAACGCAAGTTTTAAGAGAAAATTGCAAAAGAAAAGCTGAAGAATCAATTTACACACGGCCACTTAAAATTATTCGCACCGAACTTTTAAATTCTTCTCCAACATCAAATTTAAACAATCAAAATGTAAGAAATGTACGGAAAGCAATGTATGATAAACGGAAGCAGACCTATCCTAAATTACCAACTTCTTTGGATGAAACAATTCATCAATTAAGTGACTTAAAAAATGAAGAATGTTTTAAATATAAGGGTCAACAATTCATTTACATGCCGACTGATGATAATTTTGTATGTTTAACTACAGAACAAAATCTACAATTTATGACAAATAATTGTACTGAGTATTTTGGCGATGGCACATTTAATTATGCTCCAAAATATTTTATTCAATTGTACACAATACATGGATATAAAAAATGGATACTACTTACCACTTGTTTACTTTTTTTTACCAAATAAAACTAGGTCTACTTATATTAAAATGTGGCAATTTTTAAATAATTTATGTTTGAAATTATGCGAAAAAAGTTTGCAAATTAACACATTTCATGTTGATTTTGAAATTGGAGCTCATCAGGCAATTACAGACGTGTTTGGAAATATTAAAATAATTGGATGTAGATTTCATTTAGGACAATCATGGTGGAAAAAAGTAAGAAACAGTTATATAATATAGTGCTTTTTTACTAAAATATAATAATTTGTTTGTAGATTGTTGGCGAACCTTCACTCAGAATAGCATACATGGACAACAGTAATGAACTAGGGAAATGGTTGAAAATGTTTTTTGGTTTGGCGTTTATTTCCCCAGAAGAAGTAGTTGATGCATTTCACGAGTTAATATCAATTTGTCCAAATGATGACGGTTTCATATTTTCTGATTACATTATACACAACTATATTGAAGATCACTGCCAGTTTCCTCCAAATATTTGGGCGGAAACTCCTTCGCTAAACCCAAGGTTTTTAACAATATTTTTTAAAACTTATTATAAAAACTTTTTTTACTAATTTGTATTGTTTTATTTAATTTTTTTTAGAACGACCAATGCAGCTGAAAGCTTTCATCGCACGTACAATTCACAGTTTTATTCACCTCACCCCCATGTTCATACAGTCGTTAGGGTATTGATCGAAACACAAGCGGAAACATCGACTAAGATCAATTCAATTCGACACAAGCCTGGAAAATTACAATCCGCAAAAGAAATAAAAAAAAATGAATTGAATATTCAAGCCTACAGCCAGTTTTTAAATCGTAAGAATACGGAATCTTTATTAATTTATTTAAGTCAAATTGGAAGCAGATACCAAGGTGTATCAATTTAATTTATTATTATCAAAAAATCTAGCTAGGTATATTATACTGTATTATAATATGAATGTGACAACTATTTATAAATATTTTGATTTTATTATTTTGATAAGTCATAAGTCATAACTATTATTATTATTTTATTATTAACAAAAATATCTATATACTGTGACAGCTATTTATACTACTATCATAAGTATTTTCATGCATATTAAATATTGACTATGAAAACATGATATTTTTT